GCTCCCCGCTTATGCTAATGAAGCCCAGGAAATTCAAATCCCGGGCTTCATTAGCAAGTGCGGTATGCCTACATTACCCCGCTAGTTCGAACTAGCGGGGTAGTGTAGACATACCCTAGAAGAGTGGTAAGTGCAATAATGCTAGAGCAGTGTTTCTCAAAGTGGTCCACGAAACCGCTCTGAAGAACCTGCTCCCTGGCCGCTCCAGTGTGTTTGTTTATTGGCTCCATGGCCTTGCAGATCCCATTGGCTCTGGTTCACCATTTGTTATCAAGGGGAGACGCGAGCAGCGGCAACCTACCCCACGCCACTTCCCAAGGCTCCACTTGGCTGCAAAGGATGAATCGCAGCCAATGGGAGCTGAGAGGCTCCATGGATGTGGGGCCAGTAAGTAAACACACTGGCTGTGCCTAGACTGGCAAGTTTTTCCACAAAAACAGCTGCTTTTGCGGAAAAACTTGCCAGCTGTCTACACTGGCCGCTTGAATTTCCACAAGAACACTGACTTCCTACTGTCTGAAATCAGTGCTTCTTGAGGAAATACTATGCTGCTCCCGTTCGGGCAAAAGTCCTTTTGCACAAAGCTTTTGCACAAAAGGGTCAGTGTAGACAGCTCAGATTTATTTTGCGCAAAAAAGCCCCTATTGCAAAAATGGCGATCGGGGCTTTTTTGCGGAAAAGCGCATCTAGATTGACACGGACGCTTTTCCGCAAAAAGTGTTTTTGTGGAAAAGCGTCTGTGCCAATCTAGATGCTCTTTTCCGCAAATGCTTTGAACGGAAAACTTTTCCATTACAAGCATTTGCGGAAAACCATGCCAGTCTAGACGTAGCCACTGGAGCAGCCAGTAAGCAGGTTTTTCAGAGTGGTTTCATGGACCACTTTGACTAACTCTGTACTAGAGCACTGGATTTAATATTTTGCAGATTAAACTGGGTCTCTTATGCCTCAGCAAAGTTGATATAAAAGTTAAATATTATCCAATGTGGTTTACCTGATTTCTTGCCCAGTGGCTTTGCAGTTAAAAATTTAGTTTGCAGGAGCCAAGAGAGTTCAGAGGGTATCAGCAACATCCATCAGCAACATTCAGCTGGTGGTGGGAAAAGACTGCTACCTTTACTTTTGCTCTCCAGCCTTGGATTTCTCCAGCCATCAGGGATGGTTGTTTCCCAACCCACCACTTTGTTCTAAGGACTCTTCCCTCCAGAGCCTTAAAGATAAGGGGGAGAAACTCTGCCACTTCACATAGGAGAGGTAGCAATTCTCATTCTGGATAGAAGCACCAGGAAATTTAACATATTGGATATGTGTATTCCTTAAAGCTCAGCCCTTAATCAACTCAACTCTGTGGCATTGTTTCCAGGGACTCCCATGTTAAATGGACTGGGCTGTAAGTGCACTGTTAAAAAGCTCCACTGAATATACATGTCACTAGATGGTTTGTTTCTTCTTTGAATGCCTTTCTTTCCTATCAAGTGCTGACTTTTTTTCTACTACTGTCCCTGTTAGTTGCAATTATTGTTAACTTTTTGCCTTCAGCTGGTGAGGCAGAACACTCCCAGCTATCCCTTCTCAGGCCACATCACTATAGTTACCATAAAAGTTGTATACACCATGGTTGATTGAAATCAGGGATGCTATAAGGCCTGACTCTTCAAACTCGGATGCCTAAAGCTATACCCACTAACTGAAAGGCACCTGATTTTCAGAAGGTCCAAGCACCTGCAACTCCTCTAAAAACAATGGTGTCAGATCTTCAATTGACGTAAAGCAAATGAAGCTTCATTGATTTTTGTTGATTTACAGCATCTGAGAATGTGACACACTATGAATGATAGTGCTTAGTGTCTCTGAGAATCAAGCCATTTTCATTTAGATGCCTAAATATGGATTTGGGTGCCTAATGTTAGATACGTACTGTGGGTGAGGTAATATCTTTTATTGGACCAACTTCTTTTGCTGAAAGAAACAAGCTTTGGAGCTACACAGAGCTTTTCTTCTTCAAGGCTGGGAAATGTACCCCCAGCACCTCAGCTAAGTACAAGATGGAACAGATTGTTAACAAACCAAAAAAATATTTGCAGTTTTTTACAAATGTTAAGCATGGCTCTGTGTGTTTGTGTAAAATGGATTATTTGCTATGTGTTTAGCTCCAAAGGGGTTGACAGAGCTTGCAGAAACAATGGAGAAGCTGAAAACTGGGGAATATCCCTGCTACCTGCCTCCCTCCAGGTACACAAGAAGACACAAAGTCTGTCAGAGAATCAGGGTCTGCAGCAAGCAACATACAATTTAATCCACAAGAGAATGGGGTTACTAAGGTTAATTGTCTTCCTACAGTTGGCATTCCCTTCAAACCGTAAGTAAGACAGTATGAATATAGATCTCTTTGTTTTAAATTCATTTTGCTTAAGTGCTGTGATCCTTTTGACAAATAAATCATACTTTGTTTTGAAGATGCTGCTTTTGTGTCATTGCATACTATTACTGTCCGCAGGCTCCCACAGGGAAATAATTTCAAGTCTAAAGCTCATTGGGCTTGCTGGACATCAGAGTTGGTAACCAGAGGGATATAATATGGAGCCTGAGGGAATGGATGGAGATTCCCATCTGAAAGAGAAATGGAGGCACAGGTCTGTTGCTTGAAAAGAGTGCATTTGTGGGAGTGGAAATGAGCCTCAGAAATGGCAACTTATCCAAGGTCCATGACACTCAAGTTTGAAATGTTTGACTTAAGTTTATTTCTTTACCATTCTAACCAAGCTGTTCAATTATTATAAAGGCTTAAGACTGGGGTTCTCAAAATTTTTGATACCGTGACCCCCCCCCCAAGTTGCTTGTGACACCCCCCCCCAAGGGGTCGGGACCCACAGTTTGAGAAACGTGGGCTTAAGGAATAGCAGAGTACAACAAAATAGGGTAAAAAAAAACCTATGCCTGCACCAAAATAAAAGTCTTTTAAGAGATAAAAATTAAAGTGCATTTCCCAAGGGGGCAAGAGAGATTGAAAACAGCTGTAGACGATCTATAAACGTTGCCCCAAATTGCCATTTACATTTAACCTTCTAAAAAAGTTCCGATAAGTGATGCCTACTGTCATTTAATAGCTAAGATTAGGTAAATGTAAGTACCATAC